AGCACATGCCAAGAGCACAGCTGGCATGGGCCATTGTCACCATCAGTTTTGGTCATTATCATCACAGACTGTCTTGGGACAAATGGTGCTAAGGAAAGAGACCAGGCTGTGGGTAAAGCTACGGGGCCTGGGTTCTGCTTTGTGGCTTCTTGTCCGAGAGAGCTGGGAACCTTTCTTTCCAGCTCAACTGGCCTTTGACACCACCCCCTGGGGTGGGTGGAGCTTAAGTGGAATGCAACCCTGCCCTTCTGGGCTTCCTGCCCTGGGCTCAGAACAGAAATGTGTATTCTGGAACCAGCCAGCACACAGGTCTCTCTGGCAGGGTAAAGCACTGAGAAAGAGGGTAAGGCTCCGACCCTGGCCACCTGCAAGTTTTGTGCTGACAGGTAGACTATGATTTCACACAGGGTCAAGTGCGGGTCTACAATAGTACAGGTGCAGGGAGGCATGGCTGTAAGAACTCAGCAGAGGAGATCCATTCATGCATTCTGCCATTCTCATTCTGTAGACACTTATCACACTTATCACACACCCATGTTGTGCTGAACCCTGGGCGGCACCCAGGGACCTGTCTCTGTCCTCAAAGAGCTGATCGGCCAAGGGGAGAGAGAAATATTAAACTTGACACCTCAGAGTAGTGAGGTGGAAGAGTCCCAGGGGTAGATCTCTTCCGGGGGAGCTGGCTGAACTAGCTGCTCTAAAGGAAGAATGATTCTAAGAAACACCATTCTTTTTTTTTTTTTTTTTTTAGATTTTTTTTTTTTTTGAGAGAGAGAGAGAGAGAGATAATTTTTTAATATTTATTTTTTAGTATTTGGCGGACACAACATCTTTGTTTGTATGTGGTGCTGAGGATCGAACCCGGGCCGCACGCATGCCAGGCGAGCGCGCTACCGCTTGAGCCACATCTCCAGCCCAGAAACACCATTCTTGACCCAGCACAGTCAGTGGGTGCTGAGACCCAGCTGGTAGCCGGCCTGCATGACCAGCCAGTGGGTCTGGAAGAGGGATTCCCAGGGCCCTGGGTGTCCTGAGAGTGGCAGGTCCCCAGCCTGGGAGATTTTGACTTTCAGACCCATTTCGCATTTTGATGGTCTTCTGCTGGCCAGGAGAGGCCCTGAGTGCTGAGTCCAGGCCATGGTCTAGGGCAGGCAGGAGAAATCCTGACATCTCTCTGCAGGAAGCATTCCTGGGGAGCACCAGGTAGGTGCAGCTGTCTGGCTGGCTGAGAAGAGATACCGGACAGGGGTCGTCTGGGTTCGGTATCTCAGTTGATAATAGCGAATGCTTGACTTATGCCTAAAACAAAAGCAGTGGCGTTTTATGAAGATGTGACGACCCTAAGAGCCGGCAGCTAGCCAGGTATGATGGCACATACCTGTAATCCCAGCAACTCGGGAGGCAGAGGCAGGAGGCCAGAGTTGGCAGTTTAATGAGACCCTGTCTCCAAAGAAAATTAAACAATAAAAAGCGCAGTATAGGGTGCTCCTGGGTCCAATCCCCAATATGAAAAAAAAAAAAAGGAAAATAGAAAGAAAGAAAAAGAAAAAGAGAACTGGCAATTGCAGCATAGAGAGCTGAGGCTCCGACCCTGCTGTGCACAGTGCACTCTCTGGGAGCCACTTGGTGAGCCTCACTGTCCTCAAAATGGAGAGATCAAAAATGAAACGAGGGGCTCCTCTGATCTCCCAGACTGTGGCTCTAGGGATGCTCCTCGCCTTGCATACCTTTGTTGCTCACGTACTGAGGACAGGGTTGGGAGGTACCTTGACAACATCCTTGTCCTGGGGCAGCTCCTTCCCTGGAGGGGAAGAATGGGAATTTCACGTTAAGGGACAGTTGGGTACAAGGCAGTGCCACAGGACACCCAGCATAGGCCCATCTCGCTGGCTTCTCCTCTGGTTGTGTCAGGGGGGAGGTTATTATTGTTATTGCTGGGGCTGTTACCACCCCAAGTTTATAGAGGGATGTATCCAAGGGCTGTCTCCTGGGAGTGGCAGTACTAGAGTGTGGGTCCACCTTGGGACACTCCCAAACACTTCTAGCTCAACAGGAAGCAGGCGGCATGCCTCTGCTCTTGCAGGGGGAGGGCATGAGCCCTTCTGCCCACAGGTGGAGCCCACCAGTGCAGGTGTGTGCACTGATTAGAGAGAGGCCTGCCTGTGTGTCTGTCCTCCTGGTCCTCAGTCTCTGCGTCTGGAACATGGGAATGTTCCTCAAAGGGAGGTTGGTGCCCTTATGCCTGGCAGAGGACCCACAATAGCTGTGGGTGATTAAGAATTGAAATCCAACCTTGCAAGTGGGTTGGGAGGAAAGGTGTGAAATCTAAAGGCAGTAGCCTGGACCATTTGGTTTGCTTCTCTCCTGGGGCATTCTCCACTGGCTGACCTTGGGCAAGACACTTGCTCTTTCTGTGAAATGAGTCTGAAAATGGGGCCCAGGAAGAAGACCCCCCACCTGCCTCCCATGGGCCATCTTGGAGAATAACTGATTGGGAGGGGTGTGTGTGTGTATGTGTGTGCGCTCCTGCACGCGGAGATGTGCGTTCATGCATATTGATTATCGAGGCTTGATGACATCCTAGACTCACCCCCTGTCCCAGGAGTTATCAGAATTAGACCCAGAGGAGCCCCTGTAGTGTGTCTGCTCATTTTCTTACCCCCGCCCCCAGCCAAGGGGATGCTATGGGATCCTTTGGGCACCCACAGTGGGACCCTCCCAGAGGGATGACTTAGGCCCCATTCTCCTGGGATAGTTGAGTAGTCTTCTAGAACGCAAATGAGGGACTTTGAGGGCTATTTCTTTTGGCCCCACCTTTGGCCCTCTTCTGGACACTGGGGCAGGGAAGGGTAGGAACTGAGTCATTTCCTTCCTTGGACACTTGGAAGGAGAAGGGAAAAATTGTCCTGAGAGCTTTTGGTCTCTTGAGAGTCTTGTTTCCCAGGAGGAGGAGGAGGAAACCAGGACATGGTGTGGTTGTCCAGGGCAGGTGTGGGGGTGTTGGGGTCAAGTCCCCCCGGATATCTCTTTTCTCTCCACTTGTAAGGCAGGGTCTCAGTTTCTTTGTAAAATGTGGCAATGAAGGTATCTACCCCAGAGGGTCAAAGGGATGGTGTAAAACTAGTCAGGTCCTTTGCACAGAGCTGAGCACCCAATGACCTCAGCCCATTTTACCCAGCCTATCACCATGCTGAGCACTTTATGTATACTGATCTCCATTAGCCCTCACTCCAGCTCCCTAAGACAGGGATTCCCCGTATCTTCACTTGACCATAGGGAAACTGAAGCCCTGAGTGGCAAGTGACTTGCCTCCAACTTGTCAGTGGAAGAAGTGGGATTTTCAAACGCAGCACAGCCTGAGGATGGTGAGTGCTCCAGATGACTGTGGAGCCTGGGTGAAGAGCCTGGGTCAGAGCCCTGGGCTGGGGGAGCCTGCAGACGGCTCTGCACTGAGCTGCCTGCCAGCAATCTGGGCGGAGGCCAGAGAGCCGTCCTCCTTGGTTAGAATCCTGCAGCCAGTCTCCCCGCTGTGCAGACACATAATTATATTTCACATTAAAGGGGAAGCTGGAGGCTGAGGGGGGCCTAGGAGCCCTTTTGAGGTTTGTGCTCTGGGCATAGGCCCTGCCTCCCCAGCCCAATTCTCTGGCCCCTGGGCTGAGCCTGGGGTCCAGGCCAGTGATAAAATGGGGTTTCCCTGGGTCAGGGCCCAGCCAGGCTGGTCTGTCTGCCAGGATGAAAGGCCTGGGCCCTGCAGGAGGCAGAGAGATGTGAGGCTCAGACAATAGGCCCCAGGAGGCTGAGAGGGCAGGGCGCCTGGGGACAGGCTGGGGAGGAAGCCTGAGCCTCCCAGACAGGGGTGGGCAAGAGGAGGGGGTCACACGACGGTCAAGTCAGCCAAGAGAGGGCAGGGGGGAGGAACACAGAGGAGAAAGCAGGAAATGGGAGAAGCCAAACTGAGCACAGGATGGGGAGGGGAGATATGGCATTAAGGGGAGGTGGTGGTATGTGTGTGAATGTGTGTGCTTGGTGTGCAAAGCGAAAGGATTATGTGAAGAGTGCACGAGTTTAGCTATGTGTATGGGTGCACATGTGTAGACACCACCATTTGTGTGCACGTGCAAGTGTGTATGCACCTGTGTACCTGCGACCATCACGCATGTCAGGACATATGTTTTGCGTGTGTGGACGCGATGCCTGGGCTTGTGTGTCTGGCTGTGTGCGCTCCTGTTCAAGATTCCCCTGCCTGTGTGTGCATGCCTGTGTGTGTATGCTCGCCATGCACCTGTGTGTGGTGCGCGTGTCCCCGGGAGGATGTGCCTGTGTGTGTGTGTGTGTGTGTGTGTGTGGTGTGTGTGTGTGCGCGCGCGCGCGCGTCCCAGTGCGCAAGTGGCTGGCGGAGTGTATGTGTGTGTGTGTGGGCAGCCTGGGGCTAGGAGGGGGCGCAGGGCCAGGCCAGGGCCGTGGTGGGCGGGGGCAGCAGCAGCAGCAGCAGCAGCAGCGCGGTGCAGGGCGGGCGTGCTCTCGGCGGAGAGTTAGACGAGTTGCCGAGCTGGGCAACGGTGGCAGCGGGGCGCGGAGCTGGGTGCGCGCCGAGCTTCTGCCTCCCGCCGCCTCCTCGCCTCCATTCCTCGCTCCCCGTCTTCCCCGGGCCACGCCGCCGCTGCCGCCGCTGCGGCCGCCTCCCTGGGAACGGTAGCCGGGGGAGGGGGGCCTGGCGCGGCTGAAGCCCGCGGGAGGTGCAGGACTCCCGGGGCGTAGGGGAGCGCGCCGGGCCCTGCCCGAGATCAGATAACAGCCGGCGGGGGAGGGGGTGGACCGGCCGCGCTCACAGCGGGACTGAGGGACCGACGCCAGCTGCGCTGGCCCGAGAGAGCGCCCCGCGGCCGGGGGCGCCGTCCAGGCGCGCGCCCCCGACCCGTGGCTAGACCCCGGCGATCCGCGTCAGGGACGGCCGCGCCCCTCGGCATGGAGCACCCCCGGGGGCTGCCCTGAGGAGGAGGCGGCGGCGGCGGCGGTGGCGGCGGCGGCGATGCAGCCAGCGCAGCGGCAGCCGGGGCCAGGAACGGCCGCCCGGAGCTCGGAGGACGCGGAGCGCGCCGCGCCCGGGCTACTGACTGAGGTAAGTGTGTGGCCGCGGGCGCACGGACCCCCCCCCCCCCAGGAACCCGGCCCCCAGCTCCCCGCAGGCCGCCTTCCCGGCCCGGTGTGCGCACGAGGCGGTGCAGCAACAGGGAAGGTGGGGCAGGAGGGTTCTTCCTCGCTCTCGTTTTTCATCTTTTTTTTTTTTTTTTTCCTCCCTTGGTGAACCATCGGAGGAAATGCTGACTGCGAGCTTTTCTTCCTCTGCCATGTCTCCGGGCTACTGCCACCAGGGAACTTTGCTCCGGGCTAACCTTCGTCCCGGGGGGCGCTCCGGAAAACTTTGAGGAGCCTCGGCCCCCCTCTGGCCGGTTTGCATGAGGGGGGGCTCAGAAGGGAGCTACTTTGGCGCGCGGCTTTGGTCTCTCCAGGCGTGACCTTCCTAGAGACCCCACCATCAAGGTGGGGCCACTGAGAGGGCGCGTGGGATTTAGGAGCTGGCCTCTGGGATGTTCCCAGCTGGATACCAGCTGGGTCCTTGAAGTCGTTTCTCTTTCCGTCTGTTGTGCTCTAATGGAGTAAAAACATTCTGGAAATGGTTCTCAGCCAGAGGTTCGTTCTGCTTTTGGAGAAGCCCGCAGGGCTTCAGGGCAGAGGGTCCCTCCTGGGTGTGCATGCTTGCTCTAAGTGCCCTGGGGTGGGGGAAAAGCTGGAAGGGGATTCAGCGGCTCAAGGCAAGTGACAACTGGGGTGGGAAGCGCCTTGGGGGGGGGGGCTTCCAATGCGATTGGAGGCCTTGGCAGTGTCTGTGCCTCTGTGCACTTGTCATGTGAGTGTCTTAAAAACCTGTGTTACGAATGGGGTCACAGGAAAGTGTTTCTTTGGTGGTGGCCTCCCCTTCTGGGAGGTTCTACCTCCCTGCAGCCCGGACTTGTGGAGACTTGGAGCCTTCCCCTTCCCGTTTCCCAGGGGGCGTACCCATCCTGGAATGTGGTGCTGTCTGGGGCCATTTCTAGTTTCTTCTTCACTCCCCTGTGCCCAGGTCTGAGCCTTGCTATAAAGCGCTGGGGGACCTCCTGCTCCCCTACATCCGCGTCTCCGAACCGGGGTTCCTAGGCTCTGTCTCCCGGGAGCGCCAAGGCGCCCACACGCCGCTGAAATCGGCAGCCGCCTCCTCGAAGGTGCGAACCCAGAAGGCGTTAGCCTCCGGCCTACCCTTGGCTCCCTCGCTGAGGTGCCAGCAAAGGCCAGCCCCTGGGTGCTGACCCCCCCACCCGGGACCGGACCCCAGCCTCACTTTGCGCTAGGTTGCACGTTGACAGCCCCCTTCTCACCCGAAGCTCCACCCTGGACCGCCGCCATGTGGCAGGAGAGAGACAGCTCAGCACCAGAGACTTGGGGTCTTTTGGACGAGTGCTCCCTCTTGTATTCTCAGAAGAGCCCCCTCCTTGTCTGCCAGGGACCTCCAAAGACACTTCTCATTATAGTCTATATCGCAGTTTTCTGGTGGCCCCTCCCACCAGCTAGGGGACCTCAGGTTGGCTGCCGGGCAGGGGGGGGGGGTACCCTGGAAGGGCTGGCATCAGGTGGGGCCAGGCCTCTTGAGAGAGAGCATGGTGTGAAGGGGGAGGAGCTTGAGCATCCTTGCCCACAAGGAGGTTGGGCTCCAGTGTGCTGGACCACAAGGAAGGGCTCTCTTCTCCTCTAGGGCACTGCTGTGCACATACAGTAGGCACTCTCTAAATGTTGAGAGTTGGCCCAGGCCTAGAAGAAGTGCAATCCAAGTTTCAGATCACCTCCTTGTTCCCCTCCCTGGTGGGAGCATAGTTGAGCTCCTTCCTCAGCTCTGAAGAGAATGAGTCTTCTCTTGGGGAAGGCCTGAGTTTGTCGGGCTATCTCTGGATGCTGGCTGTGCCCAAATGCCATGTCAGATCTCCACAGGGCCACCTCGTGACGGAGGCAGGGGTCCCTCCAGGCGTATACCTGGCGGAGGGATGTTCAGGGGGCTGAGCTGTGCTGGAGAGGCTGTTGCCCAAAAAGCCTTGCAGCAGGTTGGGCTGAAATAAACCTTTAGGTAGCTCTCTCCTGGCCTGGGGCTGCCCTGCCAGCCTTCCTGCCCGGGGGCTACCGTATCCCTTTCCCCAAGTCTGCTCCAAGAAGGACGGGGTGGCACTAGGTGGCCCTGAAGACAGTGAAATAATAACAACAGCAGTGATAATAGTAACCCCAGTATCTGGGGCAGCAGCACCCTGCAGCGCTGCATACAGCACTGGGCCAGCCGGCCTGTGTGCAATTTCCTCTTCTCTGGCCAGGCCTCTGGTGCCCTGGGCCACAGTTGGCAACACCATGCATGGTACCTGGAGGTCTTGGCACAAGGTAGGGGGGCGAAAGTGACTTTGTTGTCACTCCTAGTAACCCTTATGGTTACTTGCTAGGCCTGCAGGCAGGGGCTGCTGCGGCACCTCTATGCTCGCCCAGCGGTCCCCCTCAGCCCCCATGTGCCCAGGAACTCTGGGCTGGGCCCTCCCTTTGACAGGTGCACCTGGTGCCTGTGGCTGAGACTTGGCCAGGGCTTTCCTGTGAGTGACACATGGGCACACCTGCCTGTCCCCTGGGGCCTGCTGCTGGAGCCCTGCCACGGCTGGCACCAGGGAGAGGCTGGGAGGGGGTGCAGCTCGTGGCAGCAGGAGGGGTGGAGGCTGGGCCGGCCGTGCGGAAGGTGTGGTGGGCGTGGGCTCGGCCCCACAGAGGCTGCTGTGGGGGATTGGCAGTGTGGTAGGGAGCCTGCGGAGGGGAAGGCTGCAGATGAAAGCTAGCCGCCTGAAAACTGGGCCGCGGGCAGGGCGGCCGGAGGCTTCAAGAGGAGCCATGGGGTTGGGGGTGGGGGGACTGGGTGGGGGCAGGTGGGTTTTCTGGAGGAGCCGGGCCTCAGGCAGGACCAGAGCCCTTACTGGGCACACTGGCTGAGGGCCCAGCGCTCTGCTAGTTGATTTAATTTCCTAATGGCTTGCCAGTGCAGAGGGTGGCATTAGCTTCATTCTACAGATGGGATTGGAGGCTGAGGAGGCTCTGGAGGGGCCATAAGCTGTGAGCCTCTGACCCAGAGTCCTGGAACTTTCCTAGGCACTGACCTTACTCTTCCTTGCTCAGCAGACACCCCACCCAGGAGTATGTATGTACCAGGCTGGCTTTAGCTACCTGGCCCCCGAGAAAGGTCCCACACAGGCCCTGGGGGCCTGCCATTCCAGCCCCCAGAGAGCTTCATCGTCAGGACCTAATGAAGGCCTGGCATGTAGTAGGTGCTCAGTAAATGTCCAAAGATGCTTCAGTGACTCTGGCTTTGCTGGACTGGCATGAATTGTGGAGGCACGTGCTCTGGGGGTGAGGTGCCCCGTGGTCCCCCGTGCAGTGTGTCCAGCATACACAGAAGTGCTTCATACATGGCTGTTGAATGAATGGCTCTCACTATGTGGGAGGGAGACTCGAGGGAAGCAGTGCCAGGGAGGAGGTGGGGTGAGGGAGATGCACTTCTCTGGGCCTCGCTTCTCTTGGCCTTGGTTTCTTGACCGTGCAGTGGATCTGATGCCCCAGCCACAGGAAGGCCCCTGGGATTACCTGGGATGGGGAAGTAGAAATGTGAGCTTTGGTGTGTGTACCTCCGAGGGCCAGGGGTGGTGGTGTCGGCAGAAATGAGGGTGTGAGGACCTTGCAGACCCTGGCCCGGGCCCCTGCCCTCCCGTGTATAGTAGGTGCTCAGTAAACACATCGGGTGGAATGGGCAGCTTCAGACACGCATCATGCCTAACACCCAGCCAATGCTCAGTAGCCATAGTAGCTAGAATTGCTGCCCATTCTGCAGAGGAGAAGACTGAACCTCAGAAGGATGACATCACTGCTCCAGACTTGTCCAGGGCAGAGCTGAGATTCAGGCCTTTCCTCCGGGCCTTTGGCCTACCGTCTGTTCGGCTACGGGGAGAAGGAGTTGGGTTTATGTCAAGCTTCTCTTCTGGACTGAATTCTTTGTATCGGTGCCCTCACTGTCTGCAAGTTCTGAGCTTCGTCACGTCCCCGGCACCTGGCCTGCTTCCAGCTCATGATGTCCCTGCCCCAACCCTGCGAGAAGGGGCAGAAGCTGTTCCCATTGCAGATCTAAGTGCACTGAGGCCCAGGGAGACGGACCTCTCAACCTTCAGTGGATTTTTTTTTTTTTTTGAATTAGTGAATCTTAGCTTCCTTCCATACAAATCATAAAAATGTATGGAGGCCTCAGGAGGTGGGGTTGGAGGGGGAGGTCTCCATTCCTGGCCCAGTTTAGCATTTTCACACTTCTGGCTGTGTGTGTTTTGTGTCAGTGCACTTGACTTTTATTTTTCAGCCTCTTTTTGGACACACCACCCAGGTTTATATGCACACACACACGTATATGTATATTATAGATGTCTATTAATTTTTTAAAATTGGCACTGATCAACGTTAGCAGCTTCCTAGTTGTCAAGAGACCCAGATGCACACTGGTTAGTTCATATTTGGTGGCCTCTGAAAAGACAGGGCTTGTGTTTCCAACATGAGCCACTTAGTGGTGAGCCACTTAGCTCAGCCAGGTGTGCAGGGACAGGTCACCAGCTCCTGGAGTTCACCTGGACACAGAAGACGGACCAGGAAATGGGAGAACCGGAGCCATTTGCAGCTCTCCGAGTTCCCACCCCTGAATGGGTATCCTGGGGAGTGTATGTGTGACATGACACCTCCCTTGTGAAATGGAGCACCCTGAGGCCAGAGAGGGAGAGCCGCAGCCCAAGGTTGCACAGCTTGTGAGAAGCAAGGTAGGAACTTGACCCTGCTCGGCCTCCTTGCAGCTGTTTGGGGACTTGAAGTGGGGGAGCACATGGAGACAGGGAGGTGCTGGCTGGGCTGTGTGTGACGGGGAGTCACGGAGGCTGAAAGACTGGGGCAAGGGAGGTTGGTTGAGAAGGAGCTGTAGGTCCGGGGCGGGCCCCTCACCCCACCTCCTCCTCCTTCCAGCTGCAGCTTGGGCCCCCC